CTTATATCCCCCTCCACAATTACGAGTCCGCAGACATGCACGTGTACGCTTATATATTCGACGCTGAATCTTTTCATAGTTCTTTGACAGAATTAGTACCTTTAGTTTAGTACTTTTCGTAAAAATAGACATAATATGCAAATTCTCTTAATTTTATACACGAGTGTATTTATCGCGTGTAATTTTATTCGTTTAGATCTTTTCATCCTATATTTAATTAGACAATTCACCTTTTTTTAATATATCTCTTTTAATGCGAATTAATGGCTATTTATATTTCTGCGAATTTTGAGACGTCGGTTTTAATTATCTGCTTCTCTTTTTAAGTGAGAGCATAAAAGAGTTCGAAGTAATAACGTAATACACTAACTATCACCCCTTGATAGATTTTCTCATCCCTGTGCCCTAAGTTCTATGACATCATGAAAACACCAAAAAGATGCGAAATTTTGGCATAGTTTCATATGCCGATAATTTTTTAAAAACAGTCATGAGAGAATATATATTTGTGTATTTCATTTATGAGCTGCGATTTATGGAAACCTTTTTCTCTTTTCTTAGATTTCTGCATATAAACATAGTATTTTTGGGGTCATAAAATTTTGTTTAGGCACATATCTTTTTCTTAAAATATCTATAATTTAATTTAGTCATATCAATCATATATATTTTTATGTCCTCCATATAATTAATAAATTAAAGGGGAATTATGGATTTAATTATTTGTGTTATTTGAAATATGAATAGAACTAGTCTGAATATACTATACTGCTATAATGAAGATTCCTTTCTCCAGCAAATATACTGCAATCTGAATTAACTACTTTTCATATTGTCTGATTTTCAAATGAAATGAAGTTAACGTTTGTTCAAGATTCAAATTGGAGCTGGGATCAATTCTAAATATTCTCGATTCCAAAACCTAAAATGTTCACGTATTTTCAAATCCTTTTTAATTAAAGGTGTCATTACAATAATGTAAGTGAGCAATCCTTCAGAAAACTTCCCTTACTGCTAAAATTGACAGGATTTTGATGATGTATATATTACCGAAACGCCGTCTCTAACAATCGTCTGCTCTATTTAATGCTCTAGTAGCTGCAACATCCATAACATCCATGTGGGGTTACCAGCAATAAATCTAGTTCCATATTTTTCTAGGTTATTTTTTGCGAAGTAATCAGATGACCACAGAGAAAGTCCTGAGGCTAAAAGTTGTCCAAAATCCCTTGAAGCGGCAAACGTGTAAGAAGAGGCGTATTTATTTGACTTAATTGTGTATTCTAGAAGAGTTTCTTATCTAGACAGTTCTTTGGTGTATTTTTGTTCCGTTGTTATGATAACATGTTTGTGCAGAAAACTGTATTCATTAAGATGCGTAAAATGCAGGACTTATGTTTGATTGTAGTATTTTCCTGTTTAGAAAGAACTTGAATTTCGTTTTGATGTTGGATGATCAAGTTCTCATTTAAATCAAATTTTGCCTATAAGGTAGACTCCAAATGCAAAAATAATAACGTTTTCGGTTTTGAACTAGGTATATTTTAAAATAATTTACTTGTAAATCATTTTTATTTTTCGCTACTTATCAGGTATAGGAAAAGAAGTTTTCTTGTTTACTTAACATGTTACAACATCTCAATGAACGCATAAAACAGAATACCTATTGGTTGATTTCTTAATTTGCAAGGAGTTAAACTAAAAATTATACGCTGTCAACGATAAAACTAAACGCTGTTTAACCATATGCATTCGTGTGCAAAAATTATAATATTTGAACATTATATCGAATTTCTGAAAACCTAATGAACAGATTTTAATGAAATTTATCATGAATATACATTTTCGACAGAATATGAGATATATCAATCAAAGGTCGTTTTATGAACGCATGATTATCAGTAAAGATCATAGTGCAAGGATGTCCGAAATCCATGTTGTTATATCTAACTGAAAATGAGTATAATACGGCGTACTGTCCCTTCTCAAAGCCAGACAGGTCACACAGCGTAACATCATGCTGAACAGGAGGCAGTTGAGGAGTCTGTATGGCAGTCGATCCCACTTTATGCAGCAAGGCAGCTTTCAACGACGAGATGGTTCTCGGAAGAGGACGGCGAGATGAAATTACCCTCCTAAGAGGGTCTCAGGCATACTTCATAGGCTAAAGATCAGGAGATCAGACTGATCAATCATTGCCGCACTTTCTAGATACCAGCTGGCCTATGTAGACGAGCGTTGTTGTCCAAGACCAACTACGCCCCTGAAAAGTCGAACATTGGGCTCTAAGATCTCCTCTCTTAACCTCATTGCAATCAGGAAGCCTTTAACGCACACTCCTGAACACTTCCAACGCACACGCCCAAACCATTACATTTCCACCTCCCTAATGGTGCTTTTCCCTGATGAGGGAAGGATTGTATCGTGTTTTTGGCTCTCTCCAGCGACAGGTACGCTGAGAGTCAATGTCCAGGCTGAATCTCGACTACAACTCAGGCGAGAGCTGTGAAGCTGTAGGAATCCTGTGTCGTTGCGCTTGAAGTGCCAAATAATATAAATAAAATTCTTCATTCGTGGATTCTTCGTTGCTGTGGATCGTGATCAACTTCGTCTAGCTCCTCTCGATATCGATCCAGTGCCCTGAAATCATTTCCGCAGATTACAGACGACAATGGGTTTTGCACTAAGCTGTCTAACCACCTGCTCTTGTGATTGCCCTACCTCCAATCTAGCGACAATTCTTCATCGCATTCCGTCATCCATACGTTTGCGCTATTCGTTTTGCCCCATACCATCCAACTCTTTCGAGAAAGACGACGAATGTAGTGAAGAAGTAAGAGCACGGAAATTTTTGAAAACACCTTGCTTATATCTCCTCTTACAAACATAGCTCCTCATACTCGAGCGTGTACGCTTACGCATTTGACTCTGATTATTTGCATAATTCTTCGGTGGCATAATTAATACTTTTGGTTCAATGCTTTTCGCAAAAATAGACTTAATTCGCAAATTCTAGTAATTTTGCATACTGATGTTGTAGAGACATTAGGTTAATTAATAAAGCCGGAGAGATGAAAAATTAGCAACCGCCTTCGCCGGGAATCGAACAACGGGCCTCTGGAATACCGGCCCAGCGTGCAGAACCTCTACCCCACGAAAGCACGCTAAGAAAGTGGGAGAAATACCTTATAATGTATTATAGTCATAAGTAAAGACATGTTCTAAATCAATTTTAAAGAGGGATTCACAAGTCGTGCCCATTAAACTTTTAAAAATTGTAGAAGTTTTAGAATGGATATTAATAGAAAATTGTTTCAACGGCTGACACGCTTATAATTCAACATCACTATGTATGACAACTAGTCTAATTCCACAATTTCTGTTGGAACTCCAGAAATCGAATTGGCGTGCTCTGTTGGTTTCTTTCTATTCTGAAAGCTAAAATTTCACACGAAAAGCCATTGTAGTGATAATGCAGGTGATACCTTAAAAGCTGTGATGGGCCGTTTAAAAGTGATCTCATTGTACAACTAGCACTGCTGCTACGAAAAGTAAAAACTGCTCTTTCGGCAATATGTTGCCTCCTAAATGTACTTTGAAGGATCTGTAATGCGAATACGTAAAATTTAGCAAAATCTTCATTCATTACTTTCTTATTAAATTTCATACGTAAATAACAGCGTTTTGTTTATTGGTAATTTATAAATTTGAATGTTCTTTGAAAATCAGAAAGATTTTACATTTTGATAGGCATAAACATTCAAATTCCTAACAGTATTTAATTTCTTAGTCCTAAACCCTAACAGAAAACGAACCATTTTATAGCTGATAAACAGTAATATGGAAGTCTTTCTTGAATCTTGCTGTATTTCTTCTCAAAAATGCTTGTTCTGGTTCCTATAATCTTTAAAGAATTACAGTTTTAAGATTTAAAGTTTAGATCTTCAGATTTAATTTTTGAGATTAAGATCAAGTATAATATATGTGACTGTAATTGAGTTGTGAAAGACGTAGTGTGCATCAATACATTGGGTACTGCTCAAATGACAGTACCCAATGTATTGATGCACACTATGGAAAATGAAATCGGAAAAGATTCGTTCAAGAGTACAAAGTAGAAAAAATTCGGAAAAGCTGGCTAATGTCTGCAATAATATTATATTAACATACTCATACACAAGAGAAAGATTCTGGTTTCAAGTTTAGTACGTTAATACCAGGGCCGGAGTAAAGCACAACTCTTTGTAGATTTATGGTGCCAGCCACTGGTGTTGCATTTTGGCGTATTCCCTTATGGAATGCGAAGAAAGCACTTTCAGAATGTTATGGAGTTCATATTTAAGGAGAATTCCTTCAAAAGAAAGGCTTCTTTTAATTCCTACTTATAATCTTCGGGGAGGATATAATAAAAGTTGACTATCGGCTTAAACATCGGAGTGTTACCAAACCCATTCGCATGATAAAACATTCTGGGTTCGAGTCATAGTAGAAACCGAAATTTTGTAGCCGATCTTTTGAAAAAAGAAAATTAAAAAATATTAACTTTATTCTGGTATTTTTCTAAAATGTTTAATATACTTATTATTCTTTTAAAAAATTCGCTGTTATTTCAGAAGTCATTATCCTTAAATATAATGATTTATGAGCTTCCTTTTGCTATTCATCCTTTAAGCTACGGTTTGGTTCTGTTTGCTTGGTTATGGCAAAGCATTTGAGAACTATCTGTCTAAGGGAGGAGATGCTTTCTTGGGGAGTTTCTAAGCGACACTGGCTCGTATACATGTTACACTCGGAAAAACCTCGAAAAGGCAAATGCAGTCGGCCCGTTCGCCGGGATTCGAATCCCAAACCAATTTCCTCCCAATACTAATGCTCAGTGCTTAGCCGCTGATGTGTGTTTTCTTTACGCTACAATTACATGTTTCAAAATTTTTTATTTTACTGTCACAAAATATATTTCCTTTAATCAGCGTTATTATTTCTTTTCATACTTTTCGTAGGGCATCGAGTACTGATGATGACAGCCGACACATGATGAGCAGGAAGCGAAGACGAGGGGTGAGTATTGCTACTTTTTTAAATTCCTACTATTAGCTCACACTCTTCCTATATCTTGTTCAAATTTTCAGTCGTTAATAAAATACGTTTTATTCATCCACTCAAGTTCAAATACATTTTTTTAAACTTGTAGTGCACGACACTCGATGTTAACACAGTTTTTTCACATATTTAAGTCAATTCCTACTTATTTATTCCTGTTTATCGGAACTAAAGATATGCTGCTTTTAAATATATTATAAGACTTACAAATAATGACCGTTTACGTGCTGTAAAAATTGATTACAACTTATAAATAATAGTACATGAGTGTGATAAATGGGATTGTAGTATTTAACAAAAAATAAGTGGCAACAGAGTTCTAAAGATTTTTTAAAGTGTATCGAATTAAAGAATTGTAGTTTTACAAAGTTGAATGAAGCGGATGCTATTCATCTTTTATGTTACTATTATCTTTTTGTATTACTTATCTATCAGATATCAGACTATCATGGGCAACAGCAGTACATAAAATGCAAGGTAGCACTGTAGATTATACAGTAATATATCTAGGACGAAACCTCTTTGCAGCAGGTCAAGCATATGTCGCTTTGAGTCGTGTGAAATCATTAGATGGAATATTAATTAAAGAACTGGACTGCTCGAAAGTGACTGGAAAGATTCCTTGCAATAATGAAGCATTACAAGAGATAAGTAGAATGAGAAATTATAAACCACCATCAACTTCATAAATTAGAAACGAAAAAATGTTAATAATGTTAATAAAAAGTAACTAAAATAAGATTTTTCTTTGTTGACGTAAGTAGGAATTCACTTAAAAAAATATAAATAATTATATTACTTGTTTTCGTATCTTATCAGTGGATAAAGGTATAAGGTAACTGAAGCCAGTTTCCTTAATTTGTTAGCTTTATAGTAATAATAATAACTTTGAGTTGCTTATTATAGAAGAGCACTGTCGACCTTAGATGTCAGATTTTTTCAGGAACTTATCAATATTAAAATAAGGGAACTTAAAAGTGGACCCGTGCATAACTCAACGGTAACGGGACTTCGTCCTATGTAATTTTATTGCCAGCTGTGTCTTTACAATCGATAACAGACTGGGGGTAAAAAAAGTATTTGCACACCTACATTTTTGTTTGCAATTCATAAAAAGAAGCATTAAGAAATAAAAAAATTGGTATTGCCAAATCAGAATAAGTTTAATCATCCAAAACAAACAGAAAAATTACAATAATATAAATAACAATGCTTTTTTGTAACAAAATTAAAATATCTCGTATCAAAAAAGTATTTGCACACCTGCATGAATACAAAAGAAATAAAATATATAAGCAAATTTCAAATAACTAATATTTAGTATGCATTCCTTTAGCATCTATTACTGCTTGTAATCTTGCTGGCATTGATTTAATTAAATTTTCTGTAACAGTAGGGTCAGTATTCGACCACTCTTCAATAAGGGCTTGTTTAAGGGCAGATTTGCTTGAAATCTTCCTTTTTCTTATTTTTAAATCCAAAGAATTCCACAAATTTTCCAAAGGATTTAAGTCTGGTGATTGTGGTGGAGTGGCAAGTTTTCTGGGTACATTATAAAGCAACCACATACGTGTTATACCGGCAGTGTGCTTGGGATCATTGTCTTGCTGAAAATAGTACGAATTACTGATACCCAATTTTATTGCACTTTGTGGCAAGTTATCTCGCAACACATCAATATAGGTTCGAGCTGTCATATTCCCATCAATGAAACACAAATTACCAACTCCTTTGCTAGCCATGCACCCCCAAATCATAACAGAACCTCCTCCATGTTTAACTGTAGGTAACACATTTTTGGTATGAAAAGCAGTACAAGGTTTTCTCCAAACTAAATTTCCTGCCATCTGATTTAAAGATATTGAACTTACTCTCGTCGGAGAATATGACATTTTTCCAGAAATCAATTGGCTTATTGTTATATTCCTTAGCGAATTCAAGTCTCTTCAGTCTATTTCGTTCAGTTATGAGAGGGTTTTTTCTTGGAGATCTCCCATAAATGTGTGCATCGTGCAGGACATTTCGAACACTTTGGGCACAGATTTGAACTCCAGATGTTGAAGCGACATCATTGGCTAAAGTAATTGCACTAACAAATGGATTTTTTTCAATGCTTCTCTTATGATTTTTCGCTTCATTCGCAGTGAAAGTTTCTTTGGGCGTCCAGAGCGCAAGTTATTTGATGTAGATCCTCTTTCTTTATGACGTTTTATAACATACCGAACAGTAGAGAAGCAAACATTTACTTTTTTACCTATTTCTCGATAACTTAGGCCATTTTCACGTAGAGAAACAATTTTTTTCTCGCAACGAAATCGGCAATTCAGATTTCTTAGGTGCCATTACAATTTGAAATCGACAATCAACTGATAACGTTTCGACAACACCTCCTTTTATAGTCGTCTTACGTATTATTTACTGCGGGATGACTGTCAAATAATAGCATAAAAATGCAAATTTGCTAAAGTTGAGTTGAGTGTGCAAATACTTTTTTGACATAAGCTATTTTAATATTGTTGCAAAAAATGTTTTTTTATTAATATTATTGTATTTTTTGTAATTAATTTAAATGAATAAGCTTATTCTATTTTTAAATGCCAATTTTTGTATTTCTTAATGCATTTTCTTATAAATTGTGAACAAAAATGTATGTGCAAATACTTTTACCCACTTACAAGATTTTCTATTTAAACTTCAACCATACCAGTTGTTTGAATGTTTAATTAAAATTGATTATTTTGTTTCTCTTTCCAATTTGATTTCTAATTGCCACAGGATGAATATATTGAATGATTAGCCCTGCTAAATTGGTTGACCATGGTGGCGGGAAGCCCGTCGCTTCCTGGTTCGAATTCTGGAGAAAGCATGAATGTTTGTAAATGTGTACGGTCTTTGCAACATGGGGGCATTTAAAATACTCTCGAGCCAAAGGTCTTCTCTACGTTTGGTGGAAAGGGAAACAGCGGTGAGATACTCTCCGATTCGTCCACCAAGGATTTCTCCTTTAAAATTTGGAGGGAACTGGGCCAAATCGTAGTGTTACCTGTAAGATGCCTTAAGTTAGGTCCTAAGTCTATAAAAGCCAAGAACAATCGCAACTCTTCTTTGGCAGCGGCCATGATAAGTCATGACGTCATATAGTGACGTTTCATGGTTTTATTTTTATTGCAGGGGACATACGGAGGAGGACTATTCCATTTATTCTTACCTCCTTGATCGGGAATTCTAAAGATATACTATTTTTAAATATTTGTGATTTTGCTGTTGAACTCAATTTTATATGGGAAGAACGTCATATTTAATAATTAAAGTTACTATATAAAAAGTTAATAACAAAAAGACAATTTTTTTTTCCTAGCCATCGTACTAAGAAAACTGAATATTGATACGATGAACTGAGAAAAGAGTTAAAAAATACAAAAATGTATGCCAATGATAAGAAAACGATTCTCAATAATGCAGCTAAAAAGGTCCCTCCCCCCAAAATATATATATATATATATGCGTATTCACAGAACTGAGTGTAACAGCAGACTGATAAGAGTGCGAGCTTACCGAGAGCGTGGAAAACCTTAACAAATCCTTTTCGGCAACCGTTAAAATCTGAATCCTTTCAGATTTTTATTTATTATTTTTTTAACAACTGCTCGTATTATCAATAAAACTAGTCACCGTATATGTAGTAGGGTCTGTGTACATTATTTTTGTATAGATTATCTTTCGAATAAAATCTAAGTTCATTACTTTTCGGATTTTAAAGAATATTAGGAAACATAAGTAGCTAAAAGCACTTAAGATTTATAATCGCTTGATATGGACAAAATTTTACCACTTTTATAACAATTAGAGTTCTCTTGCTCGTGAACGACAAAGAATTGTGTAGTGTTTCTTCCCAGGTAAGAAAGCTAGCACTCTCGATCCCCGGGACATTAGACAGAAAAGTGTAATTACTCGTGAGAGAGAAATTGTGCCATCTGTAAGGAGGAAATAGAAAGAGTACACGATATAGTTCGTTATCGTTATCTCTTTAAGAAAAGAAAGCGGGTGCTATTCCCTACCCTTATGATCTGAACAACAAAAAAACTATTGGTCGTGATTCTTGGGCAAATCGTGATCGAATGTCGAACAAACTTCAGAGAAAAGTGGACACGAATTTCGTTGTCAATTACAGGTTCATAGGAAAAGGTTAACAGTCATTCACAACAAAGAGTCCACCAATACCTCACGAAGAAATCTTTTTTTTTTTTTTTTTTTTTTTTTTTTTTTTGAAAGGTACACTACATGTTGGGCGTAGCGAAATTTTCAATACGGAAGAACAGATAAAAAAGGAAATTGGGTTGGCATATAAAAGATGATTTCGTGAATTCGATCTCTCTCTGCTTGTAAACGAATCCCAAAAAACGTGCCGTTCCTGTCGATGAAGTTCTGCGCGTCAAAAGGAAATGATTCTCATTCTACCACAATTGTTCCACCCTTCATATCGGATTTTATTTTCGTCACGTATAAGCACTTTTTTCTCCGTGCAATGCGCATGAATTCCTGGAAACTGAGGAATTCTTCAATTAGGAACCGGATGATAGGGTTGATAGAATATTTACTGCATGACGAAAGAAATTTTTATTCGGATAATTCATTGTAATGTTCAGAGAAGACAGAAACACGCTCTTCGAGGAAACCAATACCTGGGAAAAAAGTTGTGATTGCCAAACCATGGAAACTAATACAAGATAAATTAATATCCCTCATAACGTTCCTAATCTCAATCATCTGTATTTTCATAAGATACGGAGCATTTTCTTCAGGTGTGCTAATGAGTCAAGAAATCATTGTTAAGGATTTAAAATTGGGTTATTGACTGGTTGCATTAGTTGGTGGAGTTTATTTTACTAATGTTGTTGGCTTGCTGAGACTTGTATCACTTATCTGACAATAACATCAGATTAGATTTTTATCGTGACCAAAATATGAAATAAATAATAAAAGTTCGAATTTCAAAATTCGGGTTTCCCGGTACACATGTTCGAGTGGAGGACTACGTTATTCAAAATTGGATGGCTCTAGGTACCGTCGTGTTTTCACACAATTCATACATTCATGCAAACTTTTCATTATTTAATTTCTTTAAAAATTAAACAGGGCGATAATCTTTGGTCGCAACAAATCGAAAAGAGATACCCCATTTTGAGTGAACTGACTCTAAAACCCACATCCAGACTAATAGCCCCTTTCGAACTTTAAAAAATAAATAAATAAATAAAATAAATCTTAAAGAATTTATATTTTAAGGGTTGCCCAAAAGGGTTTGTTAGGGTTTATTACGCTCTCGCTGAGCTCGCAGTCTACCAGTCTGCTGTTACAGTCGCTTCTACGTACCCATTAAGTATCATTTTCTTCGCACTTACGCCATATACAATCCAGTAGCAAAATTACAAAAATTAAAAAAAAACAGCATAGCAGTACACGTTTAGAATTCCCGATGCAGCGTTAAGTGTTGGCATTTATTTAGCTGTTTTTTTAAGCCTTTTTTTTCAGTTCATAATATTAATGTTCAGTGTTCTTACTAACGTGGCTTTACAAAACGTTTTTTTCTTCTTATTACTAACGCTCTGTGCGTTTACTTTCTTTAGTATAACACGTTCGTGGCACTTACGCCAAATAAAATTCCCTTCAACAGCAAAATATTTTAAAACAGCATATCTTTAGGATTTCCGATATACAGGCTGGCGCCCTGGAGACGAAAATATTTTATTCCGTACAGTGTTGCCACTGCTTGCTTTGAAATCGTTGAGTTTGTTAATCAAAAATTCGTTAAAGTTTTTTTATTTGGCTACTGAATTTACGTTAGAAATATTCTCAATTTATACATATGTGTCATTAAATTTGATCTTATGAAATAAAATTTGCAAATATTAAACCATTCGGTATAATAAAATAATATTTTTTACAAAATCATTCTATTGTAATTATCAGATAAGGAGGGCAAATTTAAAATTACACAAAGTTTAACCTTAAGCAAAGTAAACTGAAAGTCTACATGCTCAGCTTTCCACCGTAATGAGATTATGGTTATGTACGTAACTAATTTAATTAGTTACGTACATAACCATTTTTCAGTCTCATTCGTGGCATGGATTGTATTTTTCGCTTCCAGGATACAAAGATTAAAGCATTTTAATACAGCTGTTGCATCAAGGACTCTCTAAATAATATGTTCTAAGTAATAATTTAACATAGTACTGTAACTAAGCAAGATTAACATTCTTAAAATCGAAGAGCGATTCAGTTACCCTTAATGTATTGCTACAACAGATGTTTAGAAAGTAAATTTAGTTATTTTTTTATTCTTAAATTTTAGTCAATTCACGAAGCCTTTTGTAAGAGTGCACATAAATAAAAAGTTTTTCGTTCTTTTATCGTGAACATGCGCTCTGATTTTATTTTTTAGGGCAAAAGGGGCGTTAAAATGGATAATGGGATATTGTCTCAAAACGGCATTTTATGTCGAAAAACTTAAATGTTTTGCATCACTATTCATATTGTTGCCACCAAATATTATCGTCCTGTATGATATTTAAAGAAATTAAATAATAAAGAATAAGCTTGAATGTATGTATGTTTCTCGCATTGTAAAAACAACAGCCGTACCTGGAGCCATCTAATTTTGAATAACATAGTCCTTCACCAGAACGTGGGCACCTGGAAACCCAAAATTGGTATTTTGAATTTGTTTTATTACCTACTTCATATTTTGTAAAACTTTACCGAATTTTTGATTAAAAAACCCAACAGTTTCAAAACTAGCAATGGCAACACTGTAGAGAGTAAAAACGTTTGTATCTTCAGCGCGAGAGGCTTTCTATTGGAAATTCTGAAGATATACTGCTTTTAAATATCTTTAGCCCAATTGCTTTCGAAACGTGTGTCTGTAAATGGAAAAAAAACCTGTTTGGGCATAATGTACAATCTGAAAGCTTTCAGATTTCAGTTTTTTATTTAGTTAATTAATTTTTTCGTATATCAAATACTTGCTCATTTATCGTTCGCTTATTGTATTTTTCTTCAACAACAAACGTTATATGCCAGTTTACATGCTGTTCAAATTCATTAACACAGATTCAAATTTTTTTTAACTATTCATTTTCTGGTATTATTTAAATCATTGATAAAAGTTAAAAGAACATAATTAGCAAGCAATTTAACTTTATGAAAGTTCTTGCAAGAAAATATATAACTTTCTTACAAGGAAGTTATCTGCATGCTGGAGTCCTAGTGTAATTCATAATTGCGCTTTTCAGTCGTTGCTCAAGTATGGTAGTAAATCGAATGGCAAATGAGAATCAACGTATTTAATTATTTTTTTGTTATGCATGATTTGAGTGCAGTGCATGCTTTGAGTGTATGCATCATGCATGATTTGAGTCCAAAAGGTAAAACCAATGCATCCAGTTAAATGTCAGATCAGTCAGGCAGGTTAAATCAAGATCAGTTAATATGGAATTTTACTGGTTTGTTCTGACTTTATTATTAATTAGATTATTTTTATAAATAATAAATAAATAAAAGGACTTGTTAAATTAAGGAAAAACACATTAAGATTACCTGCCTAAAGAAAGAGATGCTTTCGTTATGGACTGTGGGAGATAAATCTCATTACACTTGAGATAAATCATTAAACTGTCGATGTAACCAGTCCGTTCACCAGAATTCAAATCTATATCAAATTCCCAGTAACCTTATCCAGTAGGGAGCTGTGTAGCCTAAAGGAAAGATTGTAAAACAATGCAGTGAATTAGATTTCAGTCAAGTCAAAGTGAAGATTTGCAGGGACAAATCACTCGAATCTCGTTGTTAATGTAAATTATCTGAAACTAGTTAATGGCTTTTCGTAACCTTAGGGATACATGTATGCAAAGCGGATCGTTCGAGCCTCAACTAGAGTCAAGATCATTGCAAACCTAAAACAAATTTTGAAATTTTTAGTGTAATATTGACGTATATGTTTAATAGGATTTTAGTTTATGTCTACTCTTTAATTACAACGTCTTCTTTTTATTCAGATTATAGAAAAACGAAGAAGAGATAGAATAAATAACTCCTTGTCCGAATTAAGAAGATTAGTTCCTGCAGCATTCGAAAAACAGGTTTGTAAATTTCTTTCATATAATTTTTAAATTTCGTATTCTGATGTGAAGGTAGAATCCAGAAGTTAGAGGACTGGGTTGCTAAGAAAATGTGCATATGTAGCAAACCTATTTTGATTTTTTTTTACTCGGTTAAACTTAACACTGCCATGCTCAGACGCAATTTCATGCAGTTATGTCATATGGTTTCTACCAATGTCTATGAGTATTTGCTGAGCTATTTTATAGCCAATGTATGAAAGTACAGTTTGTTGAACAAGGGAGAATGCCCAGTGAAAACCAAAGCTTGGAAATAACGCTATGTTTCATTTAAAAAGTCTTCAAAATCATCGACATTTCCAATAGCTCTGTAAAAGACATCGAAGTTAGTGAACACAACTGCCAATTAACCATCAGATATCTTGAGAATATTTTACAAGCTCTTACGGTTATTCAAATCAGCAGGATCTGCCAGTCGTATCTGAGTGATATTTTAGTGTCGTTGAAACAGGATTTGCGCCTACAACGCAGAATTATTGTATCATACATATTGATGAAAAACCGTCTGCTGCTACGAATGGGAGGGACAAAAGGTCTCATGGGCAATGGCAACGAAAACACTCACCATGATTTAACAACAAGCAGGCATCAGCTACATCAAAGTTAGGAAGTTATCCCTTCAAGCAGAAACACCGCAATGATCTCAGTAAATGTACGGCCATCTTAGAGATGTTTTTTTTATTGCAATTATCATTATGAAATTCACATTTGCATTGATGAATTGTTGATGCTTATAGGAATACTGTATAATGGTGCCCTGTAATACCTGTATCCTTATGCAGGTCGACCAGTGTTCTCTCGAATGGAAATTTTCAGAAGAATTTCTCGATATAGAGGGAAACGTTACAGAGCAGCGGTTCTCAACCTTTTGACTATCGCGTACCATCTAAACAAAAACTGAAAATCTTTAGTACCACCACTACAAAGTACTACTACCACCACCACTCTTCAACAAAGCTCAGATCGCAGAAATTTACGAGTGTTACAGAAAAATCTCAATCAGGATGTTAGGGTTTTAATTTTTGAATTTAATAGTTAAAAAAAAAATACTTTGCTTCTTTGCGTACCACCAATTTTTGTCTCGCGTACCACCGGTTGATAACCGCTGTTATAGAGATTCCTTTTTTACTTCAAAAAAGTAAAAATTGCTCCATGGCTTTATGTAAAGGGGAGGATGGGCTTTTTTATAATTATTATGAGTCAAATTTATAAATAAATTGAAATATAAATTTCCATAGAAGTAATTTGACACTCGGATATTTTTCCGCTTGCATGACGAAGAATTGGAAAAGAATAACAAGTACTTGCATTTCTAATAAATTTCTAAATTTTCTGTGATTTATTCAATATTTTTGAGAAGATAATTTTCTTTTGAGTTAAAATAAACTTAAGTTTAGAAAATAAAAGATTAATATTTTATGCCTTCTTCGGTAACCCTAAATATATTTAGTTATTTAAATTGCTGAAGATAATTTTTAATTTTGAAACATTTTACCATTGTTATATCTTTTAGTAACGAAAGTAAAATATATCTTTACAGTTGTATTTAAGAGATTAAAGAAGTGCAAATAGTTTTTTGAGTAAATTTTCTGTTATGCAGACGACGCTTAAAATTTCTTGGGAAAATTTCACAGGCAACCTATTCAGGAATTTTTTAAATAATTTGTTAATTTTTACATTATACAGCTAAGTATCTTATAGTTCTTCAAAATGCGAGAAATTTTAGGTTCTTCAAACAACTTTTGTTTTCTTTTACAGGGTTCTGCAAAACTGGAAAAAGCTGAAATTCTTCAAATGACCGTGGATCACCTACGGATACTGCATACCAAAGGTATTATGAATACTTTTTCCATATAACTAGAATAGCTCATTGTTCTTACGAAATTAAACTGTTTTTTTTTGCACTCGATGAGTATGATTTGTTCATTTTTACGTTAATGTTTCTGCTTTAAATACGGCAAAGTTTTGAACGCTGCATCGTCAAAGGTTGCTTTATTGCCGAGCGACTGCGAGCAAGCATCTTAATAACGCAATTTTCGTCTAAGTACCTACGTTATCTGTAACAATCCCGATCATTATAGACCTTTAAATGTAAGGCACTAATAGTGTGGGAGCAAGGACCTTAATAAAGCAATTTTCATCTAAGTACCTATGTGTTATCTGTAACAATCCGGACCAGTACAAGCCTTTATAAATGCAAGGAACTATAGTATGGAAGCAGAGATCTTAATAAAGGAATTTTCATATAGTATCTGTGTTGTCTGTTACTATCCAGATCAGTACAAGCCTTTAAATGCAAAGAACTATAGTCTGGGAGCAGGGACCTTAATAAAGCGATTTTCGTCTAAGTACCTGTGTTATCCGTAACAATCCGGATCAGTACAAGCCTTTAAGTATTGCTCTTACGTATAAGAAGCATATGTAAAGAGAAGAAAGTATTATATGAAAGTTAAACTGTACTATAATTAAGTCAAGGGCTTCTCCGAGAAATATAGTTAGACCCGTGATGTACCTTTTTACATTCAAAAACCTGTGCTACCTCAGAATTACTTAAGAGATGAAGGGCTACTTCGTAAGTTGCTATAGTTCGACAACTCTATTATTTGCTTTTTACGTTTGTGAATAATCTTTGAACTCACTCTTTATTTGCATATAATGGCTAAAGAACTCTATTTTGAGGATTGGAGCTCTTATATATATGCGTTTGATTCAGGTATAGGTTATTATCAGGTATTGATTGCAAATGGATGGCATGACAAATGCATAGTCGTGTTCAAAAGAAACTCATTATTTTCACTGAGGAATTTAGTAAAAAGTTTATAGCTTTATGACTTGAATGAAATCCTTAAAATGTCGAATATTTCGTATTTCATCATAAAATATTAATCACAAAATCTGAGCTATTTTATTCTTATTGTTATAATGAAAGTTATTCACAGATTTCAAAGATTTTAGTGGTTTTTTATTAAAATTTTTTATTAAAAGCAGACGCCATTTTAATTTTCAACATTTATACTAGATAATTTATTTATTTACTTTTTAACCCAAAGAGACAATTTGCCCAGAAGAGCTATAAATTTCGTTTTAGCATTTCGCGTTGGTTCAGTACAAACAACGTTTCCTTATAATGCAGGGCTCTAATATTTGCCGCCAAATATTAGAGCCCTGCATTATATTTAAAGAAATTAAATAACGAAGAATCTGCATGAATGTACGTATGTTTCTCGCACTATGAAAAACCAACGGACCTAGAGACATCAAATTTTGAATGACGTATGTTTCCATCCGAATATGGGCATCTGGAAGCCCAAATTTGGAATTTGTTTTATTATCTATTTCATAGTTTGTAAAACTTTAAACGAATTTTTGATTAACAAACTCAACGATTTCAAAGTGAGCAATAGCAACTCTGTACGGGGAAAAAAATATTTGGTCTCTAGCTCGCGAGACTGTGTATCGGAAATTCTAAAGGTACGCTCTTTGGCTAAAGTGTAGAATCGCCAACTTATTTGATTGGCTTTTGTTTGGCGCTTTTAGTAAGAGTAAGAAGAATTGAAATTTTGTCAATTTTCTTTCACTTTTTAAGGGAAAATAGATCGATGTGTACATGGATAAAGTCAAGGGAGTGCGCAATGCCATTTTTGTGCAATTCTGGGATTTTTTTGTAAGTGAAAATAGGTCGATGTGTACATGGATACCGAGTATGTGCACGCTCTTAAAAACGCTCCAAGCAGTGGGCGATTCTGCACTTTTCCCCGCTCTTTTTAAATTATTTCGTGATATTGATGTTGAATTGAATTTCGCGATATTTAATAAATCGTCTCGTCTGAGTATGTAACACACAGAACATTAAAAATGGCGCCTTTGGCAGTAATATAAAATCTGAAAGCTTTCAGATTTATTTATTTATTTAATTTTAAGTTGAATGTCATTTTATTCCTAATAGTGAAATCAGTTTGGAGCTCATCTTTTACCTGTGATGTAAAATACACAGAATGTAGAAAAAGTTTTGCTTAGAAAATAAGTTTAAGAAAATTATGAAATAAAATTACCTAAAGAATGTAAAATTTCGATTATTTAAATAAATCAGAAGTGTACTGGAGTTCGTTTGAAATGGTGTCGCCAAGTAGCATGAAAACCTCCCGGAAACTACCAGTTTTGGATCGATAATCTTTCAATTTTTCATATTTTAAGGTTGTCAGGTATGATGATATCTAACACATAAATATGATTGAAATGATGCGATGTATTATATATATTATTAAGCAAATGCGATTGTAGAACACTTTAATGAAAACCTATTTAATAAATTTCTTGGATGACGAGATTTTGCAGAAATTACTGATGGTATTAATCAACAAGATAACCGGCTGTCGGTTTTCCAAATATGACTTGCCAATCCGTTGAAACTGCACTTTTCCTTACCACCCCTTTCATAAATAACATAAAAGGATAAATTTCATAATGTCTTAAAATAAAATTTTGATAAAAATTGACGAATATATAATCAGTGGTTCGAATATTAATTTATGTAAGTAATGCGTCATATATGTGTTGTAAAAGACTACATCTTTCCGAAACCGGTGGTGGTGTCAGCTGTACAGGTAAATTTATGCACATGGTTTTTCTTTTGTTCCATTTACGATATGTACACACATGTACCTTCAGCTGTTGACATCGTCTCTGATGCCCTTGTGGGGAAGTAGGAAATAAATAAAAAAAACGTAGATAATGGCAATAATAATAATAAAAATTCAAAGGGGAACTGAGCTGATTTCGGTAAAGAACGAGGTGGCGGGTGTTAAATGACGGGGAATACTGCCGCCGAGTGGCGGGGCACCTGGTTTGAAAATCGTCAGCAGTCACGTTCGCAAGGTCAGATTCCATCTGCGATTGCGCTTTCCCACGCTTTAATAATCTCGTCTGAGTCTAGATTTGGGGTTGTTATGGCTTTCCTCTGCTGATTTCCTCCAGTTTCTGCTGATACAACCGTTAGTATGAAACTGATCAGGGATCGAAGAGCATGACGCTATCCTCGAAAAGATGGCGGGAAAATAACAAAATTTAAAATAAGAACAAAGTAACACAAACAAATAACTTTTTTTTTTTTATTTTGCCGGTACTTCTATTGTCAAAGATCTGTTCTTTACTACAGGATAAAATTAAGACGGAAATTAACATTCAACTGTGGCTGTGCATGCATATGCTTACGAGTGTATTATACATAAATATACAAAGAAAAAGTCGTTAACTTTTCAAATAATAGAAGTTTTGAAAGAAATTAAAAAATTCATTAAATACAAAATTTTGAACAGAGAAAGAAAAAAGACGAGTCCATGATGCTGAATACCATTATTTGCCATTAAATATATTAGTCACTTTAGAGGTTTTCTATGGAACGTGACCAGAAGCTGCGAACAACTTTTATTATATAATGTATTTAAGGACAATTAACTGGTGATCGAAAACATTCAGAAAACTGTAGCATGGAATTATGACGCAAGGATAAATAACTATGTTGCCCATATTTGCGACAAACGTAAGAAATTGTTATAACAAACCAAATTTCCTAATTATAATTAGAAAATTTGGTTTGTAGTCTTATTATATAAACTTAGCTGATGATTCTCTTACGTAAATTGTAAAATAGTAATTAATTGTAATTTTGTCTATTATTTTATGTGATTGTAATAAATTCACGAAGATATAAGAAAAAAGGAACAGTCAAATTTGTTTTGAACTTTATATGCTTTTCATAGTTTACTAATTCAGGTTTTGATTTTACTGACATTTTAATATATTCCAAAAGACAGATCACAATAATCAGTTAGTGTGACAAGAATTGTTATAAAACAATTAAATAAATAAATAAAAAAAAGCAAGGGCTTGAAAAGTACTCAGAGAATCTGAAATAAAATATGCATATGAAATAAGTATAAGCTTAAAATTATTCAAAGAATAAAGTATATATCTGTGCCTTTCTACTTTATAATCGTAAAAACAAAGACACTCCTTTCATTGTATCTTTTAAATATAAAGTAAAAAACTTCTTTGGATCCTAATATTTTATTAATAGAATTTTCTATTATTTTTTAATTTATTTGTTATTAAAATGGGAAATAAGTATCGTTATCTGAATACTACAGACTACATAATGGTAATCTGCGTAGACACAAGGATACTGCCGTGAAGGGCTTTCTAAGGAAAATTGTCTCGTATTCACGTTGTACATGAAGAAAACGACGGAAACAGCTAAAAATACACAAAGGGAGGGTGTTCGTGTATATTGATATTTTCTGAAATTCTCTTTTGTGCACTTTACTCAACATTATTGAATCCTTTAAATAAAAGGCAAAAAAATTTTATGCAATCTTAAAATAAGCAATTAATACCATATAACAAGAAATTAATACAATAAGAATCTTGGTTATCGACTTTTATTTATCTGATATAAATAAACATTAAAGTAAATAATAATAAGAATCTTGGTTATCGACCTTTATTTATTTGATATCAATAAACGTTAAAGTAAATAATAAAAATTATTATCAGGATAAATAATTATTTAAAAAATATTATAAGTTTTTAAATTATAATCATTGTTATTATATTTCATTCAAGGTGTATTGTGCTAATAAGTTAATTCCTGCTTTCAGAATAGTAATGCTAACCTTCATTACCCTTTTTATGGCCTTAACTAGCATAGTCAATGCAATATTTTTGGCAAAGTATTTTTTTTTCCAGTTCTGTTAATATATATTTGAGTATATTTCTTTTATACAACTTTTATAATCTTGTATCGTAATGCACTTTCATTTATTTTCTAATAAA